TTGGGCCCGAACGAAAGGTTCAGAAGATTAGTATGAACGCGCCCCAGAGACGGCTGGAGTCGGGTGAAGAGTTTGTTCGAATTTGCAGCTGATGGAGTGTACGAGATGGAGGGGTAGATGTAGGAATAAAACAATTGCAGGTGTTTTAATAAATTAAGTATGGCAGTAACTTTTGTTATTGCACTGATATACTTCGGTTTCCGGACGGCCCCGTAACAGGTGGCATGTTTGGAATGATGAGGGAGGTGTGCTATCCTGCACGCAGCGGGATCATTTCGGAAGGCTGATGGAATCTGCAGGGGTAAAACGAAGCCGATGTAAGATCGTAGGCTTTTTTGTCTGGTTGGGGTTCCCTATGGATGTGAATCACAGGCCGGATGGAATGGACGACAGGCAAACAGGCCGCCTGTATCAGATGTTGCCGACGTTCGAAGCTTAGGAAGGCGCAGGAAACAGGCAACGCCTAGCAGGCTTGTCCAAACAGCTGCTACGAAAAGGGTCACCGGGTCGCAGCGCTTGACTTCTTTGCCATGAGGTATTCGTGGCTCCCAGTAGACGTATTACTGTTTCACGGCAAGGTTTGAACGGAATTTCGCCAACTGTTTTTTCACGCTCTGTCCAGTACAAGTTTTGAAAAACTTTTAGACACCTTTTGTGCAAATCTCCGCGCTTGCAAGCCTAATCCTTCGCGGTGAGAACATAAAATGCAATGCTACACCTTGTTTTTGCTTGTGCCTCTCAGGTAAAAGGCAGCCACTGCCCGATGGGAAAAAACCGACCAGTAAACTTGGGTGAAAGCGTCGACTCTGTGTATTAATCAGTGAGTCCGTGGAAGATTACTTATACTGCATCCGTTTAAGGGCCGGACGACAGGATTTTTCATCGTTGACCCAATTGACACACGGCATGGACTGCGTAGGAAGATTTTCATATCAGATTGCACATCTTGATTGAGGATCAATTTTCATTATTTTTACCACTTGGTGCACGGAACAACCCTCGTCCGACGGTTGTTCACGCCGCATCTGGTATTATCAAAATGCTTTTAGACGCTTTTTATGTGAGTCTTTAGACCAGAAAACTGACTGTCCCGCGATGTAAACTTGAAGAACAGTGCTACACCATCTTTGGTTTTTGTCTTTGAGGTGAACGAAAGCCGCTGAACGACAAGAAAAAATGACGCGGCTAGTTTGGACAAAGGCCTTGATCGCGTAGATAAACGTGTTATCCGTGGTCATATACAATTCTTTATGTGTAACTATCACAGTGCACCAAAATAAAGACAAGTGGTTATCACTTACACGTGGTGGCATATTGTTGATCACGAAAATTTAGAGCGGAACAGGGCTAGAGGATATTGGGGACGGGGATAAAAAGTGCGTAAATCGTGCGTAATTTACAGTGCAGTATGACATTTCTGGATATCATGCTTTTGATATAATGCATGGAAAGCCACCAAACAACGCCATGTTATCCAGTAGGACGGTGGAAAGTGCAACTTTACCAAAGCGGAACTTGCTTAGATGCCTTGTAACATGTTTTTGAAAGGAAAAGAGAGAATCATCACAGTCCACACTGTTGGCCAAGGTGTATATACTGTACGATCCTGGCCCCTGCATACGTTAAAGAATTCCACAAGGACAATAAGCGGGGCTCTTTACTTTCCGATTTTGAGTGAAAACATACGGATGAAACAAAGGCTGAAATGCTCGCAAGATACTTATGGTGATAAGCTCTACCAAAATTGTTTCGGAAATCGAATGTTATACACTTTCCAGAACCTTTTATCAAATACAGCCAATAACTGTTGCAACAAATTTTGGCAGGAAACATATGAGTGATAGCGTCTAGGCATATATGCACAAAAATAATTCGATAGCATTTTGACGCGACTTTTCATAATCAGTATACAAGAAAAGCTGCATGGACTTGGTCACTTTGCATTGTTCGGCTTTTACGGGAAAGTTGGCGGGTAGATAGATACGTATTACTCGGAGAACACGGTCTACTCCGTTGCTTGCGAAAATGGAAACCGCGCGACGTACTACATCTTGGCATCACTATGTAATCAGTAAACGAACAGATCCATTACTACAAGGTTCTCAACAGATGCCTTTGTCGTTTGGTAAAACATAGGATGCGCATGGAAACACGACCTTAGTTTGATACTAGTATCCCCCTATATTTCGCCCACCACGGCCATAATAAAACATAAGTCTTTTCTCTCTCTCCGCCGATCTCTCACAAATAACTGAGTTCAAGACGACAGGAACATTCAGGCCCCTATTGGCAACCCCAATTGCAAAGAATTGTAATTCCTGTACCCCGCCCTGGTGATCTGTGGAAACATCTTTCAGCTTACCAAACTTCCTTTCTGGCCCTAACTAGAAACACAAAACTTGTTGGGGGACGCAGAGCGTCTGTTGTTGACTGCGAAAGCACCTAAATTTTGTGCAATTTCATCTGATTAACACCCATGTGTAGGTGGAAAACATCAGTCTATGGCGACAGGGACCTTCAAAGGCCCAACGAAGTCTACTGGCCAAACGCCAGCGGCTGTATTCCCTTGGAGAAACCCCCAACTCCACATGATTCGGACGCCTCGCCACTACACGCTGGCCTCGGGGCGGCGGGCGATCAGTTGGACAACAGACGTAACCAAATAGAACCTTGGTCGAAAGTGTCAACGCTCCAAAAATATCCGCACAGTTGGACACACAGGAACTTCAGTTCCACTTCGGGCCTCTGATAGTTTTTCAGTTGCTGAGAGCGTTAGCTAAATAGCGGTTTTTCTGCGAGATATTCAATCAGATCCATTGTTACGCAATCAAGTTACCCTACTTTCATTTACCTGGAGAGTTATTGCAGGGACGGGTGTGGTCCATGCCTAATTATCCGACTGAGTGAGGGCCAGGAAATTAGTAAACAACGCCTTAAAGACCACAGCCTTCGATGTATGTCACCAATCGGGACGTGGCACTGCTCCATGGGTAAATTCGCGCGGCACGTGCTGAAGCGTGGGGAGAATCAACGGCGGCGTTGATAAATCTGGATGAGTCTGACACTAACAGCTTTTGCTGAGCATTCGGTGCAGGTAAACAAAATGTTATCAGCACGGGCTTCGTAAATCAAATGAAATAATGCACTTTTGACCTTTCTCGTTGGTTTACATGATTTGAAAGATAAACATGGGTATATGTTGGAGAAATATTGTGACGATTGGACGAGAACAAACGAGAGCGGAATAACAGGCCTTACCTGCAGTGCAGCCGTCCTATAGCCGCGCTCCATCACCCTGGCTCTAGCCAGTTTAGCCAAAAGGCAAATATACCCACCCCCAATGATGGCAATATTTTCGCCGGGACCGAGAAGGAGGGTCCTCTTCCTTTTGATACGCATCGTCCATGGTGTAGCTATATAAACTAATTCGTCAAGAATCGAGTTCATAGCGCTTTAGTGTGCACCATTCTGCCATGTAGGCCGAAAATAAGCCCTTGTGAGCTGATAACCTGGGAAATCTTCAAGTGTTTGACCACAAGTGTATTCCGAACATTCCTTAAGTCGGATAGGAATATCAGATCGGTAATTGTAGGGTACGCCAATTGGTAGCGGAGGCAAAAAGCTTACTCACGATAAATAGGCAGGAACACTGTTTCTCTAGGTTAAGTTACTTACTCCGGGTGCAAGTTGATCAACTACGTCGAGCCAAACTTCGGATGCAACTCAAGGAGGTGCATAAACGTGTCTGGGAGAAGCACTAATGATTGTCAGTAAAGTGCAGCAGCTGTGATTATGGAGCGCAAATTCTCTAGTAATTGTTTTTTTCCGCGAATGGGAGCCGAACTTCTGGAGACGTCAGTCTTTCGGGACTTCGGCGGGACTGGCCTTGTCACGCTCTAATGAGGCAAAGGCATCAATACCTAGCCTTTTCCAGACTTCCTGGTGGATCTACTGCGCATTAATAGTATCAAAACTATTAGCTTTAAACGGTAACTCCCCACATTCAGTTCAATTACCTTAGGATAGGAAAACGTTAGTCGCTGGATGTCCACATCTCATTTGCTTGCACAAATCGCTGGGTGAAAAACGCGTTTAGCTTAAATTATGGTAACATACCAAAAAACTAGAAAAACGTTATCTTAAAAGAACGGAAGCTTGTGGGTTTTTTCCAGCGTTAACATGAATTACTGATAATTACTCATCGCGTAAAAAGATCGACTTTTTATGCTGTTGTTCCGCTGAATGCTAGTGGTACAAACTCGTGAATTACGACAGCATGATTTATGACCATTGAAAACCGGCGCCCTATTATACTGTACTTAAGGAGACCTATCACGGTAAAAGACATGGCGTGTCCTGGCCTAGACGTTATCCACTTGGATAGCGTCATGGCAGACGTCATTGGTCGAGTCTGGCTATTTTAACTTGACCCTGTGGATTGTAAAAACCCCTTTCAAAGCTTCTGATTTTTCATAAAACCAAAGTGCCTCACCGAAACGAGCTTCCTTCTGCCTCTGCTCCTTTCATGACTTGATTCTCCCAAGCCAGCATTTTCTGCAAAAGACAACCAAGGACCCAAAGAGTGCATTAAAAGCCCAAAATCGGGTCATTCACATGCATGGCTCGTCGTGTTTAAAGTATTGGAGGTGATACATTCTGGAAATAATTGGCGTTCCATTGGCAAACAATAGCAAGCGGATACTGAATTATGAATGTACACGTTCCGTCAAGTATAGTTCGCCCGGATGCTGTACCGGCAAACGGCTCATCCTCTGACCAATCACTTACCTGGTAGGGCTCTTGGCCCTAGTAGCGCCCAACCGCCGGTGGTGAAGCGGTTTTTGGTGCAGTATTCCGCCTAACAAGTACCTACCTCCAGACATTCAGGCATTCTACTCATATATCGTATTTCTGCATCTTAATACCAGGTCAACCAATTTTTTGGTCGTCAGTCTGCACACATCCAATCCTTTGTGGCTGTCATGACATCTGCAGGTGCGTATCAACGGCTCAAAGTCAAATTGCGGGTAATTAACTACCCAGCTGCCGATACATTTAACGCGTCCGGTAAGAAGTGCGCTTGCACAGGTAATGCAATGACAGATCGCAGACAATTGCGAAATCTTATCGTGTGGTTGGAGGACCGAATAATACGAGCTCTTCCGGTGGATAAACGACTTCGCGATATTGATTCAGCAGACTGGCCATCCTTCTCGCAGAACGTTAGTGCTGCTTGATTTGTTGATTCAGCTTGTTTCAGTACTTAACTTCTTTGAAGTGTCCGTTTGGTGAAGAGGCTGGGGTTGCTTTGTGTGACTGGCTGGCAGGTAAAGCGTTGTTACTGGAATACAAGTCCGATGATGGAACGGTCCTGGAACCCTTGGATGTACAAACGGGTGGGTCTGAGAGCGTCGCAAATGGATCAGGTGATATCTTTAGTCATATCAACAGTAAGCAAGCTAGATTATTACCCAGATTTTTCCGACAGTTCACAGCACCGAATTCAAGCAAATAGTTACCAAATTAGCACGAACTCTTCAGATTCCAAATCACCCAGATCCCGTGATGATGTTCAAGGTAAGCTTTCCTAATGTTATGTTGAGTTACTTTCTCAAGGCGGTCTGTCTCCTTATTGAACAAAAACTTTCGTCCCAAAGTATTGAACGCGCGATTGCTGAATATGGGACAGTTAAAGTAAGTGCTTCTAGTATTCTAGGATTCGATTAAACGCTGGAACATTGTCTCTTTCGGTCGTACTGTATGATGAACTGTTAATGGGCTGGAAGCTGCGCCTCTATCAGCACCTTGACTGCTACACTGGGGGAGGGGAGTGAATTCATCTAAACTGGGAAATTTTATGCATCCAAAGTATTTTTTCAGCTCTTTTCCGATCAGCGCACATACGTGCATCTTATCATTCCTATATCACTTGTGCTAGTTAATTGGAATAAAGCTGTAGTCAGTCAATTGCATAAGGAGCACCCTTAGAGAACGCTGTAGTAGTCATTGTGTGGAGTAGTTTTTCATACAGGCGAGCAGATTTCATTGAAGAAACCCGTGCATTTGCCTGGTCTTCTGTCCGTGACATTCCGGTGGACTGTTTCATTGCAAATACTGATCTGTAGTGTCTGTTGTGACTGTCTAGTGGTTACATTGGTCTCTAACAACGGGCTTCTACCGTCACATTTTATGAAGAGATATTGTATCTCCTCCTTTGGATATTGCAAAGACAAATACTGCAAACCCGTGCAGTCTAATGTAAAAATCAGACCGGGGAAGTAATCAGCGGCCAAGTGCATTAGCAGACTTGCTCCTCTCGTCGTCTTCCTACTAGAGCTTCCATCTCACCAGATTCTGACCGGATCTTCCACTTTGGTGTTTTGCTGAATGAACTTCACCTTGCTTTTCGGTAACTGAGTAAATGGGTTTTCATTGCTGCCCCCAGTTGTGATCGCCACACGTGACGCATCGAAAACGAATATCGTACAGCTGTAGCACCCTTTCGGTGCCTAACTGCCATGCCACCCGAAGGGAGCACGAGGGCTGGGATACTGCCAGGTTGCTCAAGCCTAGGCAGAGGAAGTCGAGAGGCAGAGGTTCAGTACTACCATTATCCGCAGGCTGCTCAGCACTCAAATGCTTACGCCGCTGAGCAGACCTTGAATAACGAATGCATCCAAGTAACAGCCAACGGTTGGGAAAATAAACGACCATGTAAAGGTTAAAGCAATCGTCTTACCAATCGATACCAAATTTGTCATTCTCACTGATGCAGGCTTACCAGTGGCCACTCAGTGTCGATGAATTCCGACCGAAATTCGTAGTATTCATTTCGAGTGGATCATCTGAGGTTTTTTCGGCGGCTTGTTTCTGTTGGGTGTTGTCATGAGACGTATTTTGTGATACTTTTCTCTTAACTTGATTACCGAGTATCTGACAAGGTTGGATTACTATCGTGATCCGGTATCAGCGTTACCTGAACAGTACGTCCATTCAATCTTGAGCCTCCCCAGTGCTTTGTGTCATTTCGTGTGGAGTTTCGGCGGCCCGTTATCGCATTTTATCTCAACGCCCATCGTATCATATTCATTTTATCACATACTTGATTCACTTATCCTCACGGTTTTTCTTCATTTCTACCAAACACGTCGTCGTTCTCCTTGCTGGTCTTACCATACTGTCCCGTTTCCTTCCGTTAGCAATGACTATCATGACCGTTTTCCTGAACATCTCAGTTGCAACACCAGTATTTCCTTGGTCTTTCACCGATCCGAGCGCATAGTACTGTTCAATCGCTCAGGAGGGGACTCACTTTCTTTTTTTCTAACGAGAAGTTCTATAGTGGTCGGTTTTGCTGGATGGGAGCTGCGTCCTGGGTTCAGAGGGCAGTCCAGTTACGCGACAACGGCTTCCTCCGGTCCCCTTTGAACACAAAAAGTACCCCGAATGAAGTCTTACGGCCAAGTATTGCATGATGATTTTGTCCCTTATTATCTAAGTTGTCTGGTGCCAACCAGTCAGATGAGTTTGGAAACAACAGTACTGCTGTGACATAAAGACAGGTGACAATCTGAGCGGCTATATAGTGAAGAGACCACCATGCTAACAGATCTACTTATGTTCGGACCCAGGTAGTCTACGCTTTGCACATTCAAAGACCGAGGTATTGCTTCTGGACCTCACATCTCTCTGCAACCCTTTCGTTCGTTTGTAAGATTACTTCAGTTGACAACTGCGTAAGTCGTTACTGTGCTGTGGTTGATCAAATTAATGCGGACATCGACAAGGCGCGTGAAATATTTGCCTAACTGGCGTCAGAAAGACTTCCAGTGAAGTTGAAAGGTCATGAGAACGTTCGTGCATCATGGCTATGAAACTTGCTCTCCGATCTGAAAACGAATGTCTCGAGAAATTTGAACGCAGATTGGTTGTAGGTCAGGTGGTTGTTGTTATTTCAGCACAAAATTGGATCATAAATGGGTCTTCCTTTGAAGGCAACGTAAATATTGAATGGTATCAGTGACTTATTTGTCCATCCATTATGTGAAGAAGCCCGGTCTTCCAGAAGGCGATGAGCTCTAGCAAGCTGTCTGACAACTTTGTGCCATGTAAACGGAAGAAAAAGTGTCCTGGGCCTTCGAAAAGCGTATACCAATACTGCGAAGACGATCCTGACATTAACTTCGTGGCCGTCGTATCCAGGTTGGTTTCTGATCATCTTATCCTGCGTAAGGACTTCAGATAGTTCGGTGGTTAGGGCACCAGGTTACGGACCACTAAGTCCGTGGTTCGAACCCAACCTCAGCATCTCGATTGCTTCTGTCTAGGCTTGGGCAGCCTGACAGTATTCAAACTCTCGTGCCTCCTTCCGTCGACATAGCATTTAGGTACCCGAACGATTCTTCGATTTTCCATACACCTCAAAATCACCTCTGCGACCAAGTTCAATTTTCACTATGATGCTAACGCCGAAATAAATTAACACTGCAATCAATGACCAACGACGGGTCCCGCTTTGAGAGATAGTCTTTGTTGAAATTCGTTGTAATATCAGCCGACCGCGTTGATAGGCCACTTCCGAAGTAGCGTTGAGGGAGTTGAAGGCGTTTATGTGCTGTGGGTTACTGATTAATCGTGAAAATGCAGCGGATACCCAGTGTGATGTTTATCGAGCACCGAATTACATTAAAACGCCATGAATCTGGCTATCCAAAGACTGGTCAACATCCTGTCATGTGTGCCCACATCAGTGTGAGTAATGTGTTATTAGAACTGTATTTGTTTGTTTGTTGCGCTGTGCGCATGTTGGACACTTGGTATTTGGACTGGATTGTCATGTCAATTGAGCCTATTTTGTTTGGGTCGCCTTTTTATAGTGAATTTTGCCGGATCGGATGTCAGACGAATCAATATTATCGGATCAGTCAACGCACGAAAGGCATTATGTGAATGGCGGCTGATTTAGCATAGCAGTAGTTCGCTGCGCGTTATTAAAGTGGAGACGACAGCTAATGCATGGAGCGTGATAGCTGATTCATGCCTATATCTTTT